CGATGTCAGGAGAAGAGGCAATGGGGTGGGTTTGGGGGGGGCGCGTCGCCTGGAGTTCTGAGATATGAAGGAAGGGAGCTGGGGGGTATTTTTGCTAGAGGGAAAAGAGGGAACAGGGGAGGAGGCTGAAGCGATGAGGGGCCATGAATAATGAACAACCGCCACATCGCGTGCCCCTGCGAGGGACAGTGCATCTATCTAGAAAAAGTCTCATTTCTAATATTTTAACCACATAATGTAGTTATATACAAAAAAAATATGGGCCTTTTTTGGTGTGTTTTGAGTGCTACTTATATCAAAATACATGATCCACACAAACATTTAGAGTAGCATTAGAAAATACAATAAGATTATATTGCTAGTCTAGAGGATCACTGATAAACGAGCAAAGTTGAAATACATTACAATCACTGCAGTCTTTTCTTTTTTGGTTCTAAACAAACTATCTTCTATAACCCAAAGTGGGCGTCTTTGTAGCATTGACCAGGTTCTACAGCCAAGTCATTCAGAAACATCATTGACATTGTACGCGCGTTAAGGTTTTTCACTCTATGACCCTAAAATGATTTTTATTTGTTACATCATTCTGAGATCAAGTTAACATCGAAGAACAAACAAAAACCGCCAAGCCAACTTAGCAAGGTTTTTGGCTTGATGAGTGTATTGTCCCCATGTTTAATGACCCCGGGGGGCCACAGAGAACCTCCTTGACTTCTTATCAATGAGATCATTGAACTCCTCCGTGTGTGTGTGGTGTGTGTGTGGTGTGTGTGTGTTTTGTGTGTGTGTCCTCCGTCGTGTGAGCAGGTTTTGGTGATGAGTGTATTTCCCATGTTTATGACCCCGGGGGCCACAGAGAACTCCTTGACTTCTACAATGAGATACATTGAACTCCTCCGTGTGTGTGTGTGTGTGTGTGTGTGTGTGTGTGTGTGTGTGTGTGTGTGTGTGTGTGTGTGTGTGTGTGTGTGTGTGTGTGTGTGTGTGTGTGTGTGTGTGTGTGTCTGTGTCTGTGCGTCTGTCTGTCTGTGCGTGTCAATAGACTAACATGCACTAGATATTTTGAAGGTGTGGATGGACACGGCTCTATTTACTGGTTTTGTCCCCAGGGAGCCTTCAAAGCTGAAATGTGTGTGTTCAGAAACATGTAGCATGAGCCTGTCTCTGCGTACCATGCTCTCGGCAGGCAGTGATGATGAGGGGGTGCAGGAGTGTCCCCAGTGATCTCTCCTGCTCTGCCAGCTCTTTTGTCTGAGCGGCAGCATGGACCTCAGGATTTGACCCCACTGTCCTCGTTGACCTCTCACCCTCACCTCACCCTTATCTCACCCTTATCCTACTGTGATCCCTCTCTGAGTAACACCCAACGTTCACAAGCTAACAACTCTGAATTGAACTCACTGTTCTTCACACTGCTAAAACAGTTACCTGTTAATATTGTGTGCCACTAAACGTTTTCAGTGTGTGCAGTGAAGCTGTCAGCTGATCTCTGATGAAATCATTGTCACAAAACCTGAAATAACATATCTCTTAATAAATAATGATGTTGACATGAAGCGTATTTGATAACTAGGATTAAAGAAAACAAACTTGCCTCTATCCTTTCTCTCTGATTCCCTCCTAAATGGTCGGAACTTGGTTTCCAATCTTAAGTATTTATAGCATCAAATATATGACAGCTTATTTAAGACTAAATAATAAACGATGTAACTTAGAGTTTAATACAATGTTACTAACCATGTCCCTGGTTGGATTCCATCAGTGGGATCTTTTTTTGAATGTCATATCCCTCTTTCTATCTGTTTCCAGTCTGCTACTACACTATGTCAAAAGGGAAAAAAACTGTAATAAAAAGAATATATATATTTCTAAAGAATGTAACTGGACTGTGTGTCTGGGATATGATCAGATGTTAGATGCTTGGGTAACCAGGGCACAGAGTTAGCACCAGTGGCGCTAAAGTGGCTAGTAAAGTAGTGTCACTCACCAGCCCAAAAAGCAATGGTACTCTATCGAGTGTTCGGTAAACTATATGCAACTAGTCATCAGGCGGATGGACAAAAATGTACATGTTTGTAATAATGTCTTAACCGCGTATCGCCAAAATGTCATCTTCCATGAACACCAGTCGGTTCTTCAGCGATGTGACGGCTGATTGTACAGACATTACTGTAGGTTTAATAGTTTAAGAAATACTTAATCATCTCTTTATGAAAAGGATTGACATGGTTTTCATGGGAGAGCAACACAACTGGAAGAAAAGGCAAGTATAGTATAATAGTTCTCCCCCTCCTTGTGTCAGGTTGCCTCCCTGCTATAAAGGCCCGGTAGAGGATTGATGTTGTCACGCAGCACCTTTGAGTAAGTGGGGTAAAGGAAGCAGCCCTGTCATTTCTCTCAGTGTTGAATCGTTGTGTGTCTCTGTGCTGTCTGCCTCTAATGTAAACATAAACAGAGTTTTCTTTGAGCCTGCCATCCCTCCTCTGTTTCCTCTTCACTAACCTCCTAACAATGTCTCTCTTCATCCACCCCCCCCTCCTCTTGTTCTGTCTTTATCTGTCTCCCTCCCATGCTGCTCTCTATCCCGTCATATTAAGCTCATTTCTTTTATATAAATGCATTATGAAGCATATCTTCTCTTTGCTCCTTGTTCACTTACTGCCGTCCCTCTCCTCTTTCTGCCCTTTCTTTATTCTCTGTTTTTCTCCTCATTATTGACTATCATAGACTTTTACTCCGCCACTTCTCTCCCTCTTTCTCCCCCTCTCTTCCCTCCCTATCATCTTCTTGTCCCACCCTTCTTGTCTCCTTCCCCCCTTTCACTCTGCTTGTTTAATCTTTGCGGATGTCTAATGAAATCCCAGCTGAAATGGACAATTGTTGCTTTGAGAATATTTATAGAAAGGAATAATCAGCCTGGTTGTGTTTGTCTGCGCACACTCCCCCTCCCGAACCCCCCCCCCCTCGCTCTTTAAAGAAATAATTAGTTGTAGGCAGGACTGTGAACGCTCTGAGCTTTGAGCTAAACAACAGGCAGACAGGAACGGGAGCACAGAACCATGGGTAAACAACCCGAGCATCATGGGTACCGCCGCTGCCAATGTTGACTTTATTATGACTAATATGGTTACTGCTCAGTGGATGCAGCTCCGAACAGTTTAGCTCAGAGCATGATGGAGATTACAATGTGAACAATGCACAGAGAGGGTGTACGTGTATCAGTGCAGCTCCCACAGGATTCAACATTTCATAGGTTTAGGAGAACATTTTGCTGACTTGTTTGTACAATTACATTACAATGAACCAATGTAGCGCCTAGCTCAGTGCAGACAATAGTCATACTGTTCAGTTTGTCTGTAGTAGCTTAAGGCTGTACCGAAAATCATCAATTGAAAGAAGCTTTAAATGTATAAAAAACTAAAAACGTACTCAAACTAAATCTTCAGTTAGTGAGCGAAAGTGATTCAGTGGATTGAGTCAGTTATTATTTATTTGCTTCTTGTTTGAATGAATACATCTTTTCAGTGCATGCCTCTCTTTTGTACGTCAACTGGAAATGATCACATGCATTTTCATTACATTTTGACTTTTGGACAACGCTCTGGAGTTATTGGAAGTGCTCACACGAGTCAGAGGAAAGCATACGCGACTAGAATCTTATTCTACAAATAAACAAATGATAGTGTAGCCTTATCATATCTTCGGCTGTGCAGAAATACAGGCTTTCAACGGAACAAACGCACATGCAAAACAACACATAACCCCATTTGTTACTTACTTTTGATAATATGGGCCTGTCTTGTTGTTTGGTGTATTTTGATTATCATATATATCTGATATACACAAACATTAACTTTAGAATAGCATTATAAAACAGAAAAGCCTGAGATACATTTTCATCTAGGATCACAGAAATACTGGGTTTAAGGAAAAAAGGACATGCTTTTCTTTATCTGAAATAAAAGCAGACAGATCTCTTTTGTCACTATGTATACCCATCTTATTGGCTCTAATGTGTTCATGATTAACGCATTGTGTGTAAATGAGCAGCAGGAAGGTGAGAATCCACATTCCCAACGCCACCCTTGTGCTGGGTTGACACTCCACTGTCACAGCGGTGACACTCCCGCTCTACTGCTGCTGCACTCCCTATCAGTGGGAGCTTCTTGGCTTTCTCTTATTATTATTTTTATTTCAGTCTGTTTCATCTGTCTTTTTTTCCCTCCTTCTCTATTTTTGTTTGTCTCCTGGCTGACTGAGTGAGTGAATCGTCGGTTGTGTTGCGTCGTCTTTGACAGCAGTCTGGGAGCCGAGCTGTCACTCACGCAGCGCCTTGGTCCCACTGTCTTTCTGAAGTCAGTCTCCATTAATATAATAATGGCGTGTCGTCGACGCCGCTGAATATCTGACTGTAATGTTCAGCAGAACATTACCCCCACACTCAACGCCTCACAGAGAAAGTCTTATTGTCTGACAGAAACTTTTTAGTTTGACTGAAAGGTCTTTGTGAGGTCTGTTTCATCTGTGGAAGTTTTGGTGTTTTTGTTGTGTTTTCCTTTTTGTGCTTTAGGAAGAGTGCTAGGCCCCCGTTTGATAAAGTGACTGAGGGTATTCTTTTTTCTTGTCAGGCATCTATTATTGAATCTTTCCAGGAATAGGCCTAGGTGCGCTGCGTGTCGGCGTGCTGTATTTGATTCGGCAGTTGTCATCTCAGGAAAACCATGTTGTTCAGTCTTGCAGGCTAAACACTTTGCTACAACATGCTCATCGTATTTCACCGTGATTGGAATAGGCGTGTGTGTTTGGCGCGTGTCTCGTGTATTTACTGTAAAATAGTTATGCTTAGTCAGAGAGTACAGCATGTGTGGTGTATTGATGGTATATGATCCGACTAAGTAACTCATTCCACTCCCTGTTTTGCTTTCCCTTTTCCCCTCTTCTACTCTCTCTGTCTGATCTTTCCTTTTTGTCCACCTTCCTCTTTTCTCTGTGATACCAGGTGAGCAGGGGGCCGTCACCATGTTTCCTCTCTTCCTGTTGGATCATCACATGACCGCCAGGGAGCTCGGCTTCTGGAACGGCGTCATCGCGATGGGCTTCTCCATCTGCGGCTCTTCCCTCGGAGGCCTGCTGCTCGCTCAGTTCAGGTAGCCTTCACCTTCATTCTCACCGTGCTGCCAATTATGTTTTTTAATGGCACAAATATTGAATCTGAAGGTATTTCAGTGCTGTCAGTGTTGTGCTCAGGGGCAAATTCCCTTAGAGAAATACAAAGAATGCCTGTTACACACTAAGTACATATGTTATGCCTATTAAGCAAATCCAATTGTTTAATAAAGTTGCTCAATAGTCATTAGGTTGCGGCTAACAATTAATTGAATTGTTGACTTATCTGCCACTTATTTCCTCAACAAATCAATGAATTCATTATATAAAAAAATGTAATACACTAAAAATGCCTGTCATTATTAGAAAAAACCCTAGAGCAGGGTGTCAAACTCAAATACACAGTGGGCCAAAAAAAAAAAATGGGTACTAGTCGAGGGCCGGACTGGTAGCTGAATGTTTATTGCAAAACTTATTGCACATATTAAACCTAGAACTAACAAAGCTTAAATTATTGCCTATAAAAACAACATTAAATAATCAGTTGCATTAATTTCTTATGGCTCTATCTGCAGATTTTCTTATGATTACATTTTTCCACAGGCCAACAACAGCTTCAGAAAAACAATTTCCCTCAAAGAAAAAAACAAACATGCCCTGCTGTCGCAAGAAAACATCCATTAAACTCAGTGTGCTGCTCTGTGATGCTAGTTCAAGACAGATACTTGGCATCTCATCTCAGGTGCAAGGTCATCAATGTTTGGGCTCAGGCTCTGAGCTGAGGAGACCCTCAGGATGGAGTGAAGGTGTGCGTGCAATATACCGGCGGGCCAGATCTAATAGTAATTAGAAATTATCCTGCGGGCCGAAATTAAATCCACCAAAGGCCTGATTTGGCCCCCGGGCCTTGAGTTTGACACATGTGCCCCATGTGATCTCCTAAACACATGTCTTTTACGACAAAGTACTACATTTATTGTCATTGAAGACAATGAAAAAAAGAAAATAGTAACATTTGAGAAGTTTGAACCACGTTTTTATTGGCAATTTCTCCAACGAATGTACTTCAACAGTTTACGGATGATTTAAAATAGTTGTTTATTTCAAATGACTAATTGATTCAGCCTTAGCATCCCCACACAAATGAAACAATGGACTAGTCCCTGTGGTTACTATTTGACGTGTTGACAGAGAAAGTATTCCCATTGCATTGAGAAGGATGAAAAGGTAACAGTCTTTAGAAACAAGCCAGTCCAAAGCCAACGATAAATGTTGGCTCTGAATGTTGTCTAAAGCTGCTCAAGAGTTTCTAACAGTGGGAACCAAGGACAGACTGAGAAGGTCCAGTTCACTGCTCCTCAGGAACATCTATCTTACTGCCTCAGATTGTTGCTTTCATTTCATCAGATGTTACAGTACCATCATCATCATCATCATCTTCCTCCTCTCCCTATTTCTCCTCCAAGCTTTTTATATACACTACTTCCTTCTTTCCTGCAGCTTCTTTCCATCTTTTTTTCTCTTCCTCTGCCTTATCACTCTGGGCAGTCCTTCTTGTCGTTATTTTATGACTCTTCATGGCTTGATTGATGTGTGTTTCTCCGCGTCTCCCCTGACTTTGTGTGTACAGTAACTTAAGTAAACATAGCCTTGTTTGAGAGCTCAGGGACCCCCTGTGTCTGGTGTGTGGTGTGAGAACAGCATGAGCAGCCAATCCATCACACACACTCAAACACACACACACACACACACACACACACACACACACACACACACACACACACACACACACACACACACACACACACACACACACACACACACATACACACACCTCAGGGTTTGATCATAGAGACAATGTTCAAATGAAGGGACTTTAACTCTCACATTTACAAGAAGATACCATAAGGGCTGTATTAAGATATATTACATTAGATTTATTATGGGGATAAACTATTATTATTATTATTATTATTATTATTATATTATACTCTTTATTTTCCTTAAACGTGGTATTTTGGCAAAAGTATACAGTTTCAAAAATCCAGTTGATGCAAAATTGCAATACTGACGAGAAGCATTAGATTTATTTCAATATTAAGTTGTTTTACTATGATTATATCTAACCTTTACATGTTTACCCCTTCAGCTTATTGACACTGTGCCATTTGGGCCTGACAATCGTTACATAAGGTTTTACGTCTGCTTACACTAGGATCACACCATAGCTCAGGCCTGCCTATGGCCAGTGTGATGTAACGGGGGCTATTTATAACAACAACAATGCCTTCATAAAGGACGCTGGGATGGTTCCCACAGAGTGTGTTACTGTACTCTGAACAGAGCATCAAATCAACTTCCTGTCACCAACATGTGGAAAATAACAAAGGTCAATGTACGTCTGCTAGAAGTGCTTGTTTTTGTCACTGACCGTCTAATGTTGTGATTATTAGTGTCTGATATCATCATAGAAAAGACGCAACAGAGATGTAAAACATTTCCTTCCCTTTCGCTTGTTTGGATCTGTTTTGATATTGTTTATAACCAAGTCTCACGCTTGGGCTTGTTGCTGAAAGACAATGATGAAAACGTTTTTCAGAGTTGTAGAGAGGAGTATAGCTGAGTGTTATCTTTTAGTGTCATGGCTGAATATACATACAATGTGGATGATGCCAAACCCTCGACATTTCAGAACGAGATTTGAACAAAGAAATACTTATATTTTTCTCGATAGGATCCTTTCCATAATGACGGACACTCATAATCTCAGCTTGTCAGTGGAAAGAGAATCCCTTGTAACGGACATTGTGCAATTACAACTAAGGATTACATCGCGGTCCGGTTTTCGATCACCCATTGTAGTGCTCTCGCTTAATTCTGGAAAAATGTCAGAAATTTGCTTAGATACAAAACACGGACAAATAGAAGTATAGGTTAAACAACACAGACATTTCCCCTTAAGGATTAGGATGATACGTGTTTTTGTTCTCTGTAGCTTCCTGGTTTTCTCTTGTAAAATGACACTAGCTAACACAGAGCAAGTCTCCAAAGGCAAAACATTTTTAAGGAAAGGAAGCGCTTTCAAAAGATGTCATTGTCATACCTTGGCTCTTGATCTTTCACTCTCTCTCTCTCGCTCTCTCCTGCTCACTTGTAAAGGACTCTGTAACTTGCAAAGGCAGTAACAATGTTCACACACAAAGATAGAAAACACACATCCACTTGACTTACTTTCTGAAGTTTTCCGGCAGTTAGATGCAGTCTGAAAAGCCATTCGCACTCAAAAGTGTGAGAGTGTTAAGAGGCAGTATCCGTCTAGTTGTATTAGTTTCAGCTTCTGCCATGAGTTTGAGTGTGTTTCTGTTTGTTTTGGGAAGTAATAGGTTAGAACTGCCATTTTAAAGCATTTAAAACAAGACAACATCAACCTTTTGAGCCCACATATGATGCAGCAACCTGGTGAATTCGTAAGTCACCTTATTTGACCTTGAACTGTATAGTGCAGAGAGTTTGAATCAGAGGGGGGGAGAAAATCATTTTCAACGTTTCAATTTCCCAAACTTTCTTTAAAGGGGCCCTAATATGCTAATATTAAGGTGACTATACTCTGACATGTTTATATGGTCACAGATATACACACACACACACACACACACACACACACACACACACACACACACACACACACACACACATACACATACACATACACATACACACACACACACACAGAGGGCTGTTCTCCAGGCTTGGGTCCCTCCTCTAAAGGCTTTATCTTCCCCACCATCAGAAGCGGCTGAGTGGTCAGGGAGTGACCCTCCTTACAAACCTCCACTGGCAACCCGAGAACATCGCTATTCTTATCTGAGCCTGGCCCGTGTGAGGTGGCAGCTAGGCAGGATCTTTTTCTCACACACACACACACACACACACACACACACACACACACACACACACACACACACACACACACACACACACACACACACTCACACTCACACTCACACTCACACTCACACACCTCAGCATCTCCTGAGAGTGCGTGATATGAAAGACTGTCATTGAGAAGGGAGGCAAAGGGGCAGCAGAGAGAATCACGTCTTTAGCATGTGAATGATGCAGGATTGGTTTTCCAGTAGGGAGGCTTGGAAAGGCTGGCTGGAGAGGAGAGAGAGGGGGAAACAGTTGATTTAGGGTTATACTTCAACTGTAGTACCGCATATGTGTTAGATGTGCAAGATGTTTTAATCAGAACAATTGTTTGATACTGGTAAATTCTTAAACTCACACACAGATTAGTTTATTTAAGTGTTTCTGTTGGTGTTTTCATGGCTCTGTGGTCAAACACACTTAGACTGTTAGATTATTCTTTAAGTTGAATTTGAGAAGCAACTATTCTGATAATACATGAGTCAATTGTAACTCAAAAATATTTGAACTTGTTTACCTATCAGAACAGTATTTTAAACTGATTATCTTCTATTTTGAACTGTCAGCTGAAAAAAGGAAATGTTAAGACCCTACCTTGGGTTGTATGTAGAGATGTCCCGATCCGATCACGCGATCGGGGATCGGAGCCGATCACGTGATTTTCAAAAGATCGGAATCGGGACAAAAAAATCGGGGATCTGATTTTTCTTTTTTCTTATTATTTTTTTTATTCAATGTTACAAAACAAAAATGACCATGTTCAAGTCTTAAAGTCATCCTGAGGCCTTAGTTTTTTTGTTTGAAATTACACAACATCATGTATGTGTTGCTTCTTTGGGGCTTGTTTTCATAGACCTGGTTGCTTATTTCTCTCAAATCTGGCAACAGAGTGGGCAGGGCGCAGTGTCTAATTGTAGCAGTAAGCTAACGAGTACTGATAAGCTTTGTTTTGATCCAATGCTGCACAACTGAACTGATCCAATGCTGCTGTGAAAGAAAGAAGCTATATCCATGTTGGATAGAATATCAAATTTAAATAAAAAAATAACCTTAAGGGACAACTTGAATGCTTTTTTTTCTCTTAATGCATTGCATAACGATCGGATCGGGAAAAATCGGTATCGGCAAATTGTCAAAATCAAATGATCGGAATCGGATCGGGAGCAAAAAAAGGTGATCGGGACATCCCTAGTTGTATGAGATTGAGATTTTCTCTTTTACATTTTATTTTCAACGTTATGAAGTTCAAATGACGAATCATCACGTTATCTGTTGCCCTTGACTATATCTAAATGTACCTGCTCAGGGCACTTTGCTGCATGTCAGCATACAGTATGATACTTTACATACATCATAGCCAAAGGGCAGTCAAAAAGCAGCAGATGTGCATTAGTCAAACAGTGAATCGCCATCTAAACAGCCGGATGGTAAGAGCCGGGTCAGCGAGCGCATTCTGGTTTTCATCAGGTCGGATCAGAGTTGAACGACGGCCTCACCTCTCACAATCTCTGGAGGCAGGTGAAAACATTTACTGGTAAACTTTGCAGGGAAGAACAGTGAACTTTAAATCTCCATCTTGGACTGAAAGTGTTTACTCAGTGCTCTTATCCAACTTAATCAGATTCCCTGCTTTGTGTGACAGGCTCCTTGTTCCTCACAGTCTTTTTTACACATAAATAATGACATGCAAAAAAACAAACAAACACACACACAGTCCTTTGAGTGGCAGGCCTCCTCTGAGTGATTGGCATTGTTAATCCCTGATGTCACACAACAGTGAGAGTGCACGTCTGTATGTGTTTGTGTGTGTGTGCGTGTGTGTTAACAGTGATTAATTATCGTCCTCATGCTGGGGATCTCCTTAGGTTATTGATTACGTCACGAAGCAAACCCACAGGGGGATGATTTTCTTACACTAACAGGGAATCAATTAGTGTCTGGGGACTTGTTTACTTAAGTATGTGCACACTATTACTGTGTGTGTGTGTGTGTGTGTGTGTGTGTGTGTGTGTGTGTGTGTGTGTGTGTGTGTGTGTGTGTGTGTGTGTGTGTGTGTGTGTGTGTGTGTGTGTGTTTGAAAAGAAATGCAGAATGTGATGATAAGAGCCTTGAGCCACTGTCACCACATGCCTCACTGCTCATCAACAACACCTCGTACCTTAAAGTAGTTCTCTCTGATGTTCGGCTTGTCTGCTGCTCTCTCCTCAGCATCGGGGCTCTGATGCGACGGGTGTTCGTCCTGCGAACCATCAGCATGGTCTTCCAGAGCTCTCTACTCACTATCCTGGAACCATCGCCTCTCATGAAAGGTGAGAGACTGAAATCGATCCCAGGCAGCCGTTTCAACACTTATCACCAATTGCAATGATCCCATAAAGGTCCAGTTTGGTTATGTTGGTGCTCTGCAGTAAAGTATAATAACCTATATCCAAGTGTCTAAACACATACACACAAAAAACACTTGCATAAAGCACACTCCCATTACTAAAGAAGAGTGACCCTGTTTGTGTTATAAGCTTCTCCATGAATAGTGTATCAGCGCACCACATGTTGTTTATTGAATTCTGTAGAATTACATATTTAAACTTTCCAGATCTTAAATACATACACATGCAGTCCTCATTGGACCTTTGTTGAATAAACACATTAACATGCAGGTACATGTACATATTGTATGTACACAGCTTAACGATACAAATGTCATAGTGAATGGATGATAAACACAAAAACTGTCACAATGACTGTGGTCTCTTTATTAGATCGGGTAAAGTTAGATGAACCTTTCTAGTTTTTAAGGACGGCTTTGCACCTCAATCAGTCGTTAACACTACAGTCTTATGTAATGTGGTCGATATAAAATAATTTCAATATCATGATGCTTGACACCGAAAACAGTAATATTGCGGTGAGAAAGGGAAACAATGATCACAACTACACTTTCACACTCGAAATGACATCATAATATGTTCTTTAGCATGTCAACAAAGACATCCCTGTGATATTTACTGCTTTTGTGTTGGGGTGTTCAGCCCCTGGATGTTTGTGACATAAGGTGTGTGGTTTCCATTGTTTTAGCTGATTTATGTCCGCTTAGCTGGCAGGTGTGTCATTTGATATTTGAGTTAGGTAATATCTGTACAGCACAGTTTTACAGTAGATATATACCTTAGCATTTAAAGCTGTAAACCCTTAGATTGAATTACTGATGCCGTTCCTTGTCTGGTGTTTAATTGTGTGAGAGCAATATAAGTGGAACATATTTTTATTACATACATTTTTCTTTAGGCTCTACATTTGAATCAAACTGGCCTTAAAGCAGGAATCTTTTCTTGTTGATCTGCTCACATGTTGTTCAACCTGGGATCAACTTTCATAACGTAAGAGACATGGCATCTGTTAAAGAGGCCCTATTATGCTTTTTAGGGTTTCCCCTTTCCTGTAGTGTTGTTGTGTAGGTTGTCGTGCATGTGAATGGTCTGCAAAGGCTTAAATATTTGTAGATTGAAATCAATAGCTGGAGACAGGTTTCCCCTACCTACAAACTTAGGAACTGCTTCTTGAGAGTTTGATTGTCGGTTCAGAAAGTTACAGAAATCTATGGACACAGCAACAGAAAGGTTGTGAACCAACTATATGAGTCGGTTTTTTAGTATAAGTACACCACAGGATTGATGCAGAGGACATTGATAGACAGGTGCTGTCTCTCTCTCCTTAGAGCATTGAGTTATTCATTTCTGAATGACACATCTGATTCTGTTACACAGCCAGTCACAAAGGTTTCGGGATTCAGATCGGCGCCATTTATCCCCGTCTGAATCGTGTGTTCCTCTATCAAGCCTCTCAGACTGTGAGTTGAGGCCTCTCCCCC